ATATTCAATTTTTTTTTTTTTTTTTTTGTTTCGATTCAACTTCTTGAGTGATGATTTTATTTTGTGGTTATACAGAATATGTTAGTTATTTTAAAAAGCTTATACAATAAGCAATAATTTGAAAATATTAAAATACATTATGTGTACTCATAAAGATTTAAAAATTTTGCTGCAAAATTTTCTAGATAAATTTTTTTTATATCTTGCAGTTCCTCATTATTGTTTTTGTAGTATGGTATTCATTAATTACAATTTTAAATATTTCTTGCTATTCGTTTATCGATATTAGAGATCATTTTTAATTTTTTTTTTTTTTTATTAAACAAACAGAAGATGGTACAAAAGAAACTTTGAGTTTTTCTTATTAGAATTATATTTCTTCGTTCGAGGATTTCACGATTGTTTCACTCTGGTCAGGAAGGTAAAGTTACACATCTGACTTTAAAATATTCATGATGAAATGTAGTAATGCAAAATATACGATTCTCTTATTGGAGGGAACTGAGGCAATGAAACGTAAAGGCGCGTTAAAGTGCGAAATTGTAGGGTTGTACTGAATATCAGAATATCTTGTCTTAAAACGCAAACGGAATTAATAATGATGATTCATGGAGAGAGGATGTAAAAAGAGAAAAATTCAGAATATTTCTTTTTTCTTTCTTTCTTCTTCTTTTTTTTTATATATATATAAAATATTAAAAAGATTACGATTGAAAATTTTATTGATAGAGATCTCAATAAATGTTTTCAGACTGCTAATGATAAATGAGATGCTATATCCATGTAACCAATCAGTGAGTAGCCATAGATTGAACATACCAATATCAAACAGATTAATATTGAATAGGAAAACCCACTCATTGGAATAGCTAATCATTAAACAAATCTCTACTGTGATTGCTATAGCTCGATACCAATCACACATTGGCTCATTGGATCAATCAGGAACAACAATTGACTTCGTTTCTCCTACAATTAGTTACTTCATTGGGGAATTCATATGGGAATTGATTTATGGAATATCGGTGATCCCCATAGAAAATTACATATGAAATTTTACGTAGTGATGTTGATGCAATTTTGTGGAAGAGAAAATATTTAATCGATTTAAAAATTATTATTCTTTTAAACATTTGATTGTTATGTTGAGATAGTTATTGTTAAATCATTTTTATCTAAAAGAAACTGAAGAATTGAATGGTGTTGGTTTGTTTATCTTTGAGATATCGCGTTCTTATTTTATTATCATATTTTTAAATTTATTGCAAATTTTAAGAATCTATATCGAAATATCGGAAAGGAAAACTTTTTTTGCGTGTTAGGTGAAACAAGTTATAAATTATCGGTTAATATATATACAAACTTTCTTTATTTTATACAAATACGTATTCATAATTATCTAATGCAGCCTTTCTGGATAATTAATGGAATGGTAAAACATGTAAATTATTAGTTAATTTATGTTACGAAGTTCATTTATTCCAGAAATTCGCGCAACAAATTCTATTTCGAAATGGAAGACACTATATTTTTTTATAAAACATAGATTTTACATAAAACATATAATATAGCGCGTAATTTTAATAAAATAAGTGTATTTTAAATTAAAGTTTATGAGGATTTTATTAGGAATAAAAAATATCATTAAATTTTTAAAATTTAATATTAATATTTAATATCCTCATATATATCATATATAATATAATGTATAAATAATATTTAATACAGAAATTAATTTGAAATCTAATTTAATCCTAGAGCACGAATATTCGTAATATTCATACAGCCGTAGCAAATAATATGTTCTGTTAATGATTATTAATTAAATAATATATTGAATTATTAATTAAATTACCGTATATTTTACGATTATACTTTATATTACTGAAATGTTAATATAAAGTATAATAATTTCTTAAATATTCTAGGATTTAAAATTTTAAGAACAATTATATTCGACAATTATAAATATTATTTTATTTTTTCTTTAATCGTTAATTAAAATTATTTCATTTTGCAATATCGAGTCATGTAATACTCATTTATGGATTATCCATTTAAAGTTTTTATTTTAATTCCATTCAAAGTACAACTTTTAATTTCAATTCTTCAGAACAGAATTAATTGTATAATTATATACAATTTATTCATATTTTTCATTTGACACATTGAATATTCGTTCCATTATATTTACTCAAAATTTCATCAACATCCACATAAAATTCCACATAAAATTCCACATAATAAGAGTATCTAAAATAAATTACAAGAGATTACATAAGAAGATAAATATATATATATATATATAGATAAATCCAGACATCTTCCTCCTCAAACTTTACTTATATCAATCTATTCCAAAACACTTATCGCCCATCAAGTCTAGCCACAAAGCCTCAACCAAAATCAGTGCACATCGTCCGATTCCCTTGACGAGCTTCCTATTATATCGTATCCCCCTGTCAGAAGACTTCACCCCATTTAAGGAGGATCCTAAAACGCTTAGGGTTACTTCAACGGTACCAGAAGCTCGCCGATAAATTTCTTATCGATGCGGAACGTTGGCTATTAGTTCAAAGAACGCTTACACGCCGGTTCCACCGGTATCAGCATGTAAATTTTAAACGGAAACTTGGCGTCACAGCTGCGCCACCTTCCCCTCTCCTCCCCTTTTATCTCGATCAAGCTTGAAACTAGGTTCTAAATTATCGATCCCGGAAACTGGCGCGCGGATTCGTTATCCGGATACGTTTAGGGAACGTTCCATCGTCATCTATATCGAATGATATATAGATTGTGGCTGTTTGGACTCACGTTGTGCCGCCAGGAGACCTTGTACACCCACGGATTCGACTTGATATTGCACTCGAAGTAAACGTCGATACCCTCGCGGATTGCGCTCAAGTTCAAATTGCTGCCGAGCTCGAGGGTAACCACCGGCTCGTCTGAAAGTTTGAAACGTGTCGTTTCCTTGTGTAAGAAATTCTACCGTCTGTTTTGTCGTTTCGGGGAAACTGCGAACGCGCGAACACGTGTTCCACAGGGGATGGAAGGTAAGGTAAGTAGGGCGGTGGAGCAAGAAAGGGCTATTGTTTTGTATATGTAACAACTCGCGGAGTTTGGCGAGTTGGATGGTAAATAGATGAGAGTGATTCGTGTTGTGAGTAGAGTTGATGGGAGTCGAGGGTGCTGAAGGGTTCATTTTGGGTGATAGGGGTCTTGGGTGCATTTTCTGGGATAACTTGGAAGTTGGATTGTTCTATGGGGTGTTGGAATTGTTCTACGTAGAGAAAAAAATTAAATATGTAGGTTTAGAATTGTTGTGATTATTGTTATTAGCAATCGATATTGGTCTAATTTTTAAATTTCTATTTAATAGAGATTATTCGAAATATGATCGTCAATCACCATCACCATCGGATAATATTTATTATTAACGTCATAAAATAATAAAGAACGGTATATTACCCTTTGAGTTTACGTATATATATTATATAATGTTTCATAAATCGATAATGTTTACAAGTTAAAGAATTATTATACTCGTTTATATGATAAATCGTGTTTATGCGATAAACATTTATTATACTGTTCAATGTAAGCAAGTTCAATTCTCATTTGCATGTAACGCAATACTGCCCGCTCTGATAACAACAAAATCAATTTTCCGTGTTAATCTTTCCTCAGATTCAGCCTTTGGCCATGTTTCGTTGAAATCGTTCAACTAGATCAAACTGGAACAATATTTCACCCTTCGTAATGCAATGTTTTCTCGATAAGATCTCACTTTTCGAAGGGGTGAATGTTTTAATGTCAAGAATATCGATACTTTCTCAACAAAGTTCATAGACTTTAACTATGCTAAGTTGGGGATGGTTTCATAAGTTTGTGGAACGAAATATTGAAAAATTTGTAGAATAAATTTACAGGCTAAATATACAGGGAAATTTTATAATACTTTAAAACCACAAATTTTATATAGACATATAATAAAATTAATCGACGTGCCTTGTGGATAATAATTAAAATGTAGAAGAATTTAAATAAATGTACGGATGCATTGAATATTTGAATAAAATTTTCTTCTAAGATTTCTTATTTGTATGCAAATTGTCGCAACTTATTAAATTAATAAGTTAAAGTTAAGAAGTTAATAGGAAGAAAAATAATTTAATTTTTCTCCAACTAAATTTAATCCAATTGCAAAACTTGGCTTGCAGTATAAACACGCTGAGTAAATTGAGAATTTTATGTTGATTTTGAGTAAGAAGAATTGATTCTACAAATTAAAATAAACATTTTGTTTCACAGGATATTCGATAGTGATATTTATTTTCTATTCATTCTTTATCGTCTTTTACATTCATAAAAATTTATTATAGATAGAGAGATCATATATAAATCATATTTATATGAAAATCTTTCAATATATTCTAAATAAATAATTCTGATTCGTTTACGATAAAATCTTTTTATTGTTCTAAATGCGCGAAACAATTCTTTAAATTTCGCGACAATCTCCGAGATCGATTCCACGACGAATCTTTATGCAGATCCGTTGTCCCTGCTATCGTTGTTGGAGATTAACACCGTGATTTCATTGTCCAATATAAAACTTTTTCCCAACTAGGCAGCGAGGAAATGAGAGGAAATACGAACGAAAACGAGAGAAAGAGGAAACGAGGGATCGGTTCAGCTCCACGGAAATTAATGGTACATGCCGATCCATGACCGAAGATTCTCTCGTTCTCTCGATTTTCTTTCCTTCATTCTCGTTCAAATCTTTCTTCTCTTTTTCTCTGCGAAACTCGTTCTCCTCTCTTTGTTTATCCTCTACTCGATCTCATCGGTTAGTTTCAGTTTTTTCCATCAAACTTTCTTTCTTCTTTTGTTGTCTAATTTTTACTCCAATCTCATTGTTTAGAAAAGAGATTATTCTAAATTCGAGACAAGCAGCATCTTTTGATCTTCTTTCATTTCCATCGAATCCATCTTCTTCCTTATTTCATTCAAAAATTATTTCCTTCGATAAATACGATGATTACTAATTTCTTCAAACGAAAACAGAGAGATACAAAAATCGTTAAAGGCATAAAATCGTCGAATATATATATAAAATTGCTAAAAGCATGAATTATCAGATTCTTTCAGTGTATTCGTATTACGAGTTGTACAGAGAGCTGAGAGAAATCATAAGCAAGAACCGAGTGAATCGATATTGCGGCTGCTTTTTCACGATTCTTTCTCCGTTTCCCTCTTCTCCTCCCTCTTTTTCCTTCCTTCATTTCATCCCCCTTTCCCCTTCGGTTTTTCTCGCTTTCTTCTTTTCGCTCATCAGTTCTTGTTCGAAGGAGGAGCGATATCGAGGGAAGGCCACAAGAGAGCGGATTTCTTGCTAATAGCGAGCGAGAGATCGAGCGTGAAGCCAATACAAGCGGTCTCAGCTTGACAGAATCCCCACTGGATAAATAAGTTCCTCTTTCCCCTCTTCCGCTTGCACGCGAGTTTTAATTTCGATGCGAGAATGCGCGATTTCGTCAGCTCTTGCCACCGACCTACTCGCTGTGAAACGCGAGTTTAGGGATGATGAGAAGGGGTGGGCGTAAGGAAATAAGCGTGGAAACGTGTCAAATGAACGTGAAGATTTTTTTTTTCTCGGGAAGAATTTAAAAAAATTTTTTGATTGTTTCTTTTCCTCGTTCGTATTTCTTTTCTTCGTTTATTATTTATTGTTGTAATGTATTTAGTTTAATTTCTGATTTCTTATAAAAAAGAAAAACAATAGTTTGGTATTAAGAATTAGTAAATTTTTTTTTCTATATCCGAAGAAAGAATAAAATTTAAAAGAATGAAGATTAAAAATAATTTAAAACGTATTTAGTTTAAGGATATATGAACGAATAAATGAATAGATGATCACAAAATTTTTGATCATAAACTGTGAAATAATAGGAAGAGATAATAGCAACGTAAAAAGTATTAAATTTAAATATTTTTAATAAGGAGAGAATATGTTAACTTTCTGCTGGAGGATTTGTAGGTAATCCAATGAAAAAAATTATAATTTCTTCTCATAAATTATACTTATAAAGCTCAACTTAAATGAAGATTATTGAGATACTTATAATATCATATACTACTCGAGATCCTCGAGATCTCCTCAATTAAGGGTTGAAAAAAAACTTGGTATTATTTGTATAAGACGACGAAACGATAAATAAAATTATTCAATAGCATAAATTAATTATTATAGAAAAAAGTTTCAAAAGAAATGTTTCATTAATCGAATAATAATTAACAATATTAATTAAAAATAATGGAACAGTTTAATTACAGAATTCAATTCATTCAAATCGTGAGAAGGAAAAAATTAAAACGTTTTAAATTACGGCGGATTAATTAAACTTTTTGTTTGCTATTTTATATGAGGAAAAGCTCGAATGTTTTTCCCCCATTAGAATTTGATTTGAGAATAGAATTGCATTTTCTGTTTCGAGAAAAAAAAAAACAAATTTGGAAAAAATTCTTTAAATGAACGATGAAAATTATGAATGAAAATTAACGTTCAAGTTGAATCTCATCTTACAAGATTTTAAAGTGTTCGTTTCAAAGTGTATCTATATTAGAAAAAAGAAAAAAAAAAGAGAGAAAGAAAAAATAGAGAATAGAAATAAATGGGCCGAATCGTACATCGGGAATGTTCTTTTAAATATTTGGCATGGTTTTGCTTCTGGTTCCAGCGTTTCTGTTTAGTTTATAGTGTGTTCTGGTTGGTTGCCAAGAAGCTTGTTCCACTGTAAGATTGCACATCGGGGGAATAGCGTGCTGTCGTCAGGTTCTTAAGTGGCGAGAGTGTTAGTGGAGCGGAAATTTACAGAAGGATGACTATTCGATGCAGAACAAGGGTCGTGTGAGGGAAAGAAACGTCTAAAAACGGAAGGATTCAACGAACGCGAAGTGAGAGTGCATTGATCGTGCCAATCTACCTGTTCAAGATTCTAAATAGTTTTTCCGATGGCAATAATACGGATAGCAAAACAATGGAACGAAGTTATTGTCGTTTGAAGTGACGAAGTGAAAAATATTGAAAGATATTATTAAACGAATGGACATTTGATTTGAAATTTGAACGCGAATTTGAAACTTGAATGATTGATATTTTTAAAAAATTTAATATTTTTAAATAGGCGACAGGCTTAAAATTTGAAAAATTTAAAAAGGAATTGGAGAATTTGGAGGATTAAACTTTCGAACAATTTGAAATTTAAAAGGTTTAAAATTCAAGAGGAATTTGGAATTTGAAAAATTTAATATTCGAAGCGATTGAAAATTGAAATATTTTTAGTTTAGATCATCGCGAAAAATATGGATCTCAATTTTCGAAAATTGAAATTTAAAATCGCAATCATAAAATCATTTTAATCTCTCTTCATTCCATTCCTATCTTTACGTCAATTTATTCTATAAATTCGTTTTGCATCATGATAAAAAAAATACATATATTCGATATATTTTCGATTTTTTATGCTTCACCAATAATTTCCAACTTCCTCACGTTCATCCTTCGTGTTATTTGTATATACAGCAATGAATTCAATTTAACACCGGTTCCTAGATCAAGGCTCAACTTTTTCACTGGAAGCGTTCTGCGAAGGAATTAATTAAAAATTTTAATTAATCCAAACAAATCTCCTCCCCCCGAGAAAAGTTGACTGAAAGAACGGACGACACGCGTTTCGCATTAGAGACGAGCAAAGTTCAGGGGACCTATTTTCATCCCTCGAAACAATCACTCGTAAACGCGTTCCTCTATCGATTACGCGAATTAAATTACGCTCGAAGCGGTGGAGCAATAAATCGCTCATCAACTATATTTCATTTTTATTGGACAGTGGTGTAGCCGCGTTTCCCTGCGAACGACACATTGCAAAAACCGGGCGTTTCCAAAATTCTATCAGTCGGTGAAACCAATCAGAGGCATTTCCAAATCTGTCCATGGAACTTTTTTCACCACGATGTAGAGGCATCGTCGATAAATTTCCTGAT